TACAACTATGTAATGAAACTTTAGGGACAGAAAGAAAGTTTTTCAGCCTCCAAATGTTTTCATCTCCAAAGCCTTAAACGAAGGGTTTCCCATATTACAGTCCCAGAGAAAGTTTACCTTTTCCAGTTTCCGCAGTTAGAAATCTTACAGCTTTCCTACTCATTTCATCAGAGCCCCCCATTTGTGCTCCTGCTAGGCTGGAAGTTAACCTTGTTTCCTTGCTGTCCCCCATTTGCCCGACAGACTGAGAGCGGAGCAGCGCTCTCAGCTCGGGGATCTGCATGAGGGAAGCACTGAAGGGATGATGCCCACTTCGCATGTCTACTGTTTTCAAATTTAGCTGACAATTCTGCTAAAAGAACATCCAAGTTTGTCTTCCCAAGATATTTTCTTTTAAATGCTAATTAATTTTAGAACGAAGTTTGCACTCAATTAACAACCTAAAAGGGGCTGAAAAGGCTGGAAAGTAATAATGTTCCATCAATGGCCACGTCCTGAAGATGGGGTAATATTTTCTGCATTCCTTCCATTTGCTAGTTGTACCTATTACCAATGTGTGCCAGAAAATTGCAGCAATATGTAGTTCAGACAGATAACCACAGAAAAAAGAGGACCAACAGAAAGGCAATCAACTATGAGAACTGAGAGCAAAAATCCAAATATTTCTAATTTATAAATGTTAAAGTCAGAATAAAGATGCATATTTTTAGGCAAACATGAAAAAATTAGGACATAAAAGTCATTATTAACGAAAACGGAACTATTTGTGCAGAACAAAAGAATCCGCATCCTAAATATTAATCTTAGAATATAACCTTTATAACTATGACTCAGACTGAACTTCGCCCTGAAAGTGGACAATGTTTCAAATATGATCAAAAAGGGAGAATGTAAGAATCCAGAGCAACATGTTTAACTTCATGCAATGCCTGTCTTTTCACTCTTTTTTTTAGATCTCAAAATATTGTGGCACGTGTGGAAGTAAGAACATGCATCTGACCTCCAAAGAACCATATGCTTTACAGAGAAATAAGTAAAGACCCTTCAGTACATAAAAAAAAAGCACAAACAGCAAGTAAAAAAAGCAGGGTCATAAATTTTCATATAACAATCCCTGCCACTTTAACAGGAATATACCATCTTTCAGAATATTTTCACCTATATAGGATTATTTTTCTGCATGCAAAAGGTGCACTTTGTATTCCTCTTTCCAGTACCAAAATTGTATTTGGGAATCTGTTCTTCACTTCCACCACCTCCATGATCCCGGAGCTTCAAACTCACAAAACTAACAGTGAAAATGGGAACTTTAATCTGGTTGGTTTTAAAGCTTATGTAGCCATTTGTATTGTTAGTAATAACAGCAGGTATGATCACTGATGCTTCATCTCGAAGCCTCAATGTTTCTCTGTAATTTTAATCCAAAACCTCCAGGCTTCTTAGCTGTCAAAGAATACAGTGATATGAATTAATTACATCTAATATTTCACTGACATCTGTCAAACTCTTCAAGCGTAGAATATTTTTTGCTTGTGAAAAATATCAAGGAGAAAGCCCAGCTCATAATCAGTAGTAATTTGGCAATAGCCCAAAAGCTTTTTCAGTACAAAAATTAACTGAATTTGTGCCTTTTTTAAATGATAGCAATGATGTAATTTTTTTGAAGAAAGCAATACCAACAAATGGTAAAAACAGGTTTAAAAGTTAAAAATACGCACAGAACTAAAAAAATGCATTGCTGAACACACTGCTGCTTGACATCAACAGTCTCTCATTTTCAAGAAAGTAAAACTTTCTTTTTGCAGTTATAACAAGACTTATCTATCACAGTTTGGCTGCACTCAGAAAATTGAAAGCATAAGAATATAGAAGAAAAAGACTGTTTATGTTACAGATGTATAAAAGAGGTATCAAGGTAACCATCACAGCAGCAAGACATTTAAGAAATCAAAATGGTGGATTGAGGCAAAACAACCACAAGAATATTAATATCATTTAAGCTATATCATTGTAGTGTAAAGATGGATAAACCCCTAAACCAGAAGTTTCAAATACGGTAGCTGATTGACTTTTTGCAATACTCCAATTCTATTTTCCCCAGGACTTGAATAGTGGAAGTTTTAAGGAAATGCCAGAGTATAACCTCTTAAAAATAATGAAGATGTTTCTTGATTGCAATAACTCTAGAACTGCAGCTCATGCATAAAAGAAATAAACCTCTTCAATTTATCTAATTCTATACAGAATGAGGCATTGTACTAAAGAGAAGCCAGACAAGTATCAGTATCTTGCGGTATGCCTGCATTTGTTTCACAGTTGCGTTTTTAAGATTTCTCTGTGATTTTCCCCTTTTCTTTTCCTCATGTTACATCACATTCTATACTCAAATTACTGAAATCACATTTCAGTCCTAATTTATTTTGCCCCTCTTATCTCTGGATCCATATTATCTGCAACCCCCCATTTGATTTTATCAAAAGGTTTACAAGTTCATCAATTTTCCTCATATTCTGTCATTTAGAAATCAAAATAAATTTTACACAAACCTCTGCTGGTGGGTCCACAGAGCCTAAAAGAGCCAGGGACTTGTATCTCTTAATATTTTGCTGGCATCACTAAAGGAAAAATTAAAATCCCATATGGTCTGTCACTGACCTCCTGCAACCAAGAAACTTCATTCCTTGAAAGCTAGCTATTATTCAGGCACAATCCCCATCATGGTAGCAATTTCCATAATAGCACCATGAACTTCTAGCTTTAATCAGTATTCATGTCCACCGGTTACATTTTCTTGCTGGTCCTGCATTTACTGCATCATACCTATAACTTTAGAGAGTTTACGGGGCATTTCAGAATGCCTGTCTCAGTGCAGACACTTGGGTTACTGCCACAGTAAGGACATGAGGCTTGAAGGAAGAATTGCTTCTCAATAGGTACATGTGTCTGAGCATAGCTATATCTACACAAAAAAATAACAGAACACTTATCTGAAAAAAACCCACCACCAACAACAAAACAAACAAAAAAAACCCCATCCCAACAATTTTTTTTAAAAAAGGTATTAGGGCACGACAGAACCTCAAACCCAGTAGCTAGCATCCAGAATTAAAAGAATTTCTCCATTTCCTTGATAATACACCATGGAGTGCAGAAAAAAACCACGTGAGAATGGGGAAGGATTTCTGTGAGGCTGTGTGGAAGCTCACTGCTTTAACTCCCAGAAATTTTCCTCTAAATTTTCAGCCTGTGTTGCTCCTGCTATTTGAATGGCCATAACAACATAGACTGATACTGAGCATACATTCTATGTCTGTTCTTGTGATAAGGTCACTTTATATCTCAAAAACTTTGCTTTCTCCTTGATTAGTTAAAGACAACAGTAATAGCTTTTTAACCATTTATACTTGCTTTAAGAATGCTTCATCTGCTTTCTTTTGTTGATGAGAAGGTCTATAACAGATACCTACTACAATATCACCTGTGCTGGTCTGTCCTTTGATCTCTGCCCACAAGGTCCCCACTGGTTTATCATTTCACCCAAGGCTCCATCCACTCAAAACACACCTTTGCATAGAGCATCACCTTAAGGCAGGGCATCTCATACTGGCATCTTGTTAGCACCTTAGGGTGCTTGCATCTTGTATACACAACTGGGTTCAAGGTTAAGGAGTTGCATCGTGTTTGTTACAGAAGGAAAGGAATGAGTGGGACAGATGCGCTGAACTTTCTTAGGTTTGCCCCTCTTCTTTGGTGAAATAATCCTGCAGTTATGATTTGCTGTCACTCTTTTCAAATTTACCTGCATCACAGTAATTTTAGGAAAGGAGTAAGTTCTTTTCATTAGAGAACAAGGGCAATGCATGTGTAGGCAAATGGAAAAGTTTCTGCAGAACTGATTTCAGTGCTGTGGAAATATAATTCAAATGTGTTTGTTTGATTATTAATTATATTATACAGTCATTATGAATTCTACACATTAAAATCTTTAATGTGAACTACTTACCTAATCTGTTAAACTGATCCTAGAAAGCCACAGATTTTCTATGTATGTGTTTTTAAATTTAAATTAATAAACAAGCAAAACTCCGTCAATCTGTCTTTCGTGACAGGATGTATATATCAATGTTTGCAATACTTGATCCAAAATTCACATAATTCATGACCTTACCCTCTTTTAACCTACCTCCTCCACAGGTTTCTTGAATTTTGTTTCACTGTATTTAACTTAGATAGTACACCATGCAATGATTATATGATAATATTAAAATATAATTTTAAAATGCACAGTTTCAAATAGGTCACTAAACAAATAGAAACTTTATCATTAAAAAACTTCTCATAGTTTTTAAATACATTTTTTTCAGGTAAAATTTACCCTAGGACACAGACATGTACAATCACATTTTCAAACAAGAAAACAGTGCACTTTAATAGCGCATGTTCACGTCTCACAAGTAACTACCTGTCATTATGTACCCTGATGCCCAAGTCTGTTCTCAACTTAACTCATTCGTTCTACCATGTAGCTGTTCAAATCACAGACTGCTTGACATCCAGGCTCTACAATATCCCGAGGTTTTAGCTGGTATTTACCTCTTATTTGCAATGGCATGATAATTATTAGTTTAGTAAGTGCCTATAGCAAAACATAGTAAAAAAAGGAATGTTTCACATCTTGACTTAATAATATCCCATAGGTATTTTTAACTCAGTTTTATAAGTTTAGCTGAAAATCTCCAGTCTTTAGACCATCTGCATGCCATCAAAGATAATTAATGGAAGAAAGAGCTCTGTAACACCCCCAATACCTCCCAAACTATATAAAAAAAAAACCCTACCAAACCCCCAAAAAACTAAACCCCAAAATCCAAAATTCTTGTTTACAACAAATTCCTTTAAGCTAAGGATTTCTATCTGGTGTTTTAAGTTAATTCATCTGAGCAAGACTTTGATGTGTAACTTGATTTCTTCAAGCTAGAGATGCACTACCAATTGCTTACCTGACTCACACGCAAATGTCTTTGACGTCTCATCATGAAAGATAATTGCCACTGCATGCTTCTTTGTCTCTCGAGGCAATCTAGTTATGTTTTTGATATTGTGCAGCTCTGTTACCTTAAAATGAAGAAAAGTATTTTAGGCCAGTGTATAAATAGTACTAATAGAAATATTAACCATAACTACTCAATTTTTACTATAATCCATTTTCCCCCCCCAAGGCTATTTACACTTATAGGTTTTTTAATTGACAAAAACACATAAATAAAAAAAAATAAAATGTAACATATCGAAAAGTGCACGGTCTACTTCTCTAATGAAGCTCTCCTTGGAGACATAGCTATTACAATGACATCAAGATAGCCTTGTGATTGTTCTATATTTTTCAATTTTTCTATTTGTACAACTTTGATCAGCTTCAGAATCTACATCAAATACATAGCCTAATGGAGGAACAGCGGTGTCTTATTAGTTAAGGAAAGTAACTGAATTATCATGCCAATTAGTGCCTCTCATTTGTAAGGATAGATCCTCATCTGTCTTTAAAGTGTAATTGCCATGCTCACAAGAACTCGGAATTTTATTTTATTTTCCAAATATTAGAAAAGCTTATCGACAAAAAAATACTCTTGTAGCAAATTTACAGCATAAACAATTAAATCTATTTCCATTTTCCTTTGATGCAAGTAGATAACCACAATTAACACAAACGGAAGAAAAATACATTATTGCAACCAGAGCTGGTAGCACAGCCTATATGAAGCTGCTTAAGACTTCACATTATAAAATCTTTTTCTCAGTTTCTTGGAACTCTGGGCAAACTTTATCTGTTTATAGTTAGCTTTTCCAGGCAGGAAATCTGCCTCAGGGAGAATTAATTTCTGAAAAATGTCATCCATATGAGTTTGGCCATCTATGATGAGGGAGAAAATGGACTGAGTGTGGGTGGGGTTTTTTTTTGCTCTGTTTTGTAATTCTTATGTTCCTTGTGTACAGCTCTAACATTCCTTTTCATATGCTGGAAAGAATGTTTTTTTAAGAGACAGAGATTTTATACAGTGCAGTAAAAAAATGAAACACGTTGGGGCAAAGACATTGCAAAAAAGATTGAGAGCAGATGAGCAGTGAGAGCCATCGGGAAGCCAGGGAAGGAAACGGAGACAAAGCGTGAAGTGGAATGTTTAGGTGCTGATGACAGACCTGAGCCCAGAACTGAAGCCTGCTCTGGGCTCTGTCTTAACAGCCTTCAGTAAAACTCACTCCAGTCTGTCAGTATCTTTGCTGTAATGGGTGGGTCAAAGCTGGGTGCAGTACTCTAGATAGGGTCTAACGTAAGAATTTGTGTTTTTAAAAATAATTTAAAGATGAGCATAGATTTCCTCTCAAGATTTAAAAAGATAACTGACAGTGCAATATTAAAGGAAAAATAATCATACGAAGGAAGGAATCACCCCAGTGATTCTAACACAAGCAAATGAAAGTGATATTTTTACACGTGTGTGCATGTGTGACTGTGCACACCACACAGGAAAAAAACCCTTAAATCTTGTTATGTTAAAGAGGGGACATTTCTTTCTGCAACAGTAGTAAAGGAAATAGAAGTGCTTTGAATAGTGACAACAGGGCATATTAAGCCTTCTTCTAGTCTCTCTCACCCAGTAGAGATCTATTCCTTGCTTTAGCATTTGGGCGTTATAGATTACTGAAAGATCCTGCAATGCTTATAAGTATGATAATAGATCCAAAAAACTTACATTCCTGGCATCAAAACTATATAACTTTCACAGTAATTTTTGTTCAAAACATAACTATAGACAACTGGGGATCTACACCTAGCCATCTATAAAGATGATTTTATGGGTTCTCTTGTTGCCTGTTTTATTTAATGTATTGACAGAACATTTTTTTTATGCAAGATCATTCACACACTTAGGAATATTGTCAGCACAAAATGAACAAACAATAGAATTTTATTTGCTGGTGGCAATTTAATGTCTGAAAGAGACAATGAAAACACCACCAAATTCTGGCGTGCTGCTTTTTGGTATCCATACGAGAGATTTGGTTAAACAAAATGCAAGGCAAGTGAAGAAAAACAGTCTCCATGCAGGGGAAAATGGGGGGTGGGTGGGGTGGGTGTGCTAACACATTTCAACTTTCGTCTCTGGAATCACGCTGCCTCCTCAGACAGAACAGAACTTCTTATAACTCCAATGTGACCGGCAAAGAGTTACATGAATTGCCTCTTCCAAACTCCCTGACTTTTACTTTCTTTTCTTAAAGCAAGTTTTTATGAGCCATTCATAGTTTCACACAGACGTCACATTCCTCTTGTATACATCATTCCACAAAAATGGACATATTTCAAACTATCATGAGATATTGTGAAATATCTCTTTTCTGGTCAAATGCTTTAATGGTTTAACATGGGTAGCCAAAATACTTCTGCTAGTTTAAAAAAAATAAAAGACGACAATTTAAAAAAAATAAATCTTATCTTTCACCTTGAAATTCTTTGTTTTACAAGAACTGAAGGTTTTCCTGGAAATAATACTGGTTTAGTCATTCTGAGGATAAAAGGAATTTATATACATGTTAGTTAGGAAAAATAACTAATTTTACTGGGCAAACTAACCAAAAAAAAAAAAAAGAAAAGAGAAAAAAAATAACTGAGCTTTAGCACTCAGTCCCATCATTGTATCTGAGGAAGAAGCAAATTTCACAGCATCACAGAATGGTTGAGGTTGGAAGGGATCTCTGGAGGTCATCTGGTCCAATCCCCCCTGCTCAAGTAGGGTCACCTAGAACATACCTGGGACCATGTCCAGATCATTTTTTAATATTTCCAAGGTGGGTGACTCCACAGCTTCTCTGGGCAACTGTGCCAGTGCTTGGTCACCCTCACAGTAAAAAAAGTGTTTCCTGATGTTGAGAAGGAACCTCCTGTGTGTCAGGTTGTGCCCGTTGCCTCTGGTCCTGTCACGGGCCACCACTGGAAAGAGCCTGGCTCTGTCTTCTCTAAACCCTTCAGGTGCAGAGAATATACTCACTGATGAGTATACAGTGAATGAGCCTTCTCAGCTCCAGGCTAAACTGTCCCAGTTGGCTCAGCCTTTCCTCATAGGAGAGATCTTCTAGTCCTCTCATCATCTCTGTGACCATTCACTGAACTCTCTCCAGTACGTCCATGTCTCTCCTGTACTGGGAGCCCAGAACTGGACCCAGCGCTCCAGGTTATGGCCACACGGGTGCTGACTAGAGGGGAAGGATCACCTCTCTCGACCTGCTGGCAACACTCCTCCTAATGCAGCCCAGGATATTGTTAGCTTTGAGGCAAGAGCACGCTGCTGGCTCGTGTACACCAAACCGTATACAAGTTGGAGAAGCAGTTCTAGTTTTATCTGCTGGGCAAGTGAACAGGTTGACAGAACCCCCCCACCAGCGAACATCTCAGAAACCCGAGCTGATGATAACAACAAGAGAGGCCGTATTATCAAATAAGCCCCTCAGTATTTCTATTGAATATGTAATTTTTAATATCAAATAGGGATATCAATTTTTGCTTCCATGTTCATCTTTTGAAATTGTACTGTATGTTTCCCTCCACAATCAGAGTAGAAACATAGAGGCAAGAGTAATAGTACTGTGAAAGTCTATCCTCCCACTGCTGGAGAGAACTGAAGTTAATCAAATTCCGAATTCTGCATTTAATGCCATTGAAGCATGAGTCATTCCTCTACTTGCTGAACATTTGCAATTAAAAAATAAACACCTGAGAGTTTATATTATTTTGTATGAGGGAAAAATGTACTTTGCCTTGGCAACCAGACTCCTTTATCTCAGTGATTTTTAAAAGCGTGGTTTGAATTTTTATCTATTACCTTATTAAATAAGTAAATAAATAAATAAACAAACCTTTTATAGGAGAAAAAGTATCAAAGCTACTGAAATGACAAAAAAATCCTAAAAATGTTATAACTTTTTTTGAAATAATTTAAACCATCTCTTTGCAAATTTTAAGAAGGTTTTAAAAGACTAATCAAATTGAAAATTTATCAAAAACAAAAAAGCCCCTTTTTATGAGTAGTGCATTAGGCAAATCTACTTTTTTAAGCAAGGAATGCTGCAGCAAAATTTGCTCCCTGTGGTATTATAACAGACGTGTTAACAAAATACAGTCTAGTTCATTGAAAACACTGCTGTTCTTCATGACAACAAAATAATATTCTGGAACTACCTAGACCATTGGTAACCTTGAACCAGTAAGAAGAAAAGAATAAAGGGAAAAATTTATGTGCTGTTACACATATAAGAGTCTTACCTAGATTTTCCACAAAAAATATGGTAATATTCCCATTGTGGGATTATACTTTGCCTAAAACTTTGGTAATATTAAAAACAACCCAAACCAACAAAAACTTAGAAAATCACTTTTCCTGTTTCCCCCCATTTGTATCCCTCTAGAACAGAATGAACTTAAACAACAAATAGAATTCCTAATATTACCTGTTCAGTGAGAAATCTTGCAAATAGATTTCTTGCCTACCCTTATCCTTTACGATTTCTTCTGGTAGGCTAAATGGAGCCTTTTGTATTAAACTATGATTATGTAGTTTACAACTTTTCACTAACGTTAGTATGTTAACAGGTTTTTTTCGCTACTAGACACTGGCGCTATCATTAAGTACAGTACTCCATATGGTGCTCAGTGTGGTACATTAGGGACTCTTAGCACCTGGCCCATTTCTCAGTTCTTCTATTCCTCATCAATAATTCCTGCCTCATATGTCCATCACTCAGCAGCCCACATACACATTTCATTGCTTTTTTTTTTACTTGGTTTCTTGATCTTTTCCTGTATCAGCCTCTAAAACCATATTTCTTGTTTCTAGAATGACAATGAACACTGGTTGAAGAAAAGATGTGGAATAGTTACTTAACTTATACGTAACAAACTTTTCTTTGACAAGCTTTTCTTTATTCCACTTTTTTTCATAGATAAAAGTTTTCTTCTTTCTGGGCGGGGGGTGTTGATATAGCTATATCAGTGACATCCAACTCCTTTATTTCTGGTTAATATTTGATGAAAGGACATAACCCTGAAGGGCTATGAGGTA